ATGGTGGCTCACACCTCTCATCTCAGCACTCTGGGAGGCCGAAGCAAGTGGATCATTTGAGGTCAGGAGTTCCAAACAAGCCTGGCCAATGTGGCGAAACCCTGTCTCTACAAAAAATACAAAAATTAGCCAGGCCTGGTGGCACATGCCTATAATCCCAGCTACGCGGGAGGCTGAGGCATGAGGATCCCTTGAACATAGGAAGCAGAATTTGCAATGAGTGAAGATTGTGCCATTGCATTCCATGCTGGGCAATGCAGTAAGAAAGAGGTGAGATATTCTGTTTATGTGTATCACAATTAAGTGATCTCAACAACTTAATGATTTTACAGTATATATTAAAGGTCAGTATATAGACAGGGTAAGAGGATAGTAACAAGGAAAACATAGGTGGAAAGAATTAGCATCTCTTTCCTTACCTATGAACTTGAATAATAAATCTTGGTCAAAATAATTTTCTGATAGCAAGACAGTGAGTATATTAAGTGTATAAAACTGAAAACCAAAATTACAAAATAAGAAAGGTGGCTTTACACAAGTACCGCTTGACAGAAATGTTATTTGTAATTTCTCTATTAAAAAAAAGTGCTGAAACCCCGTCTCTACTAAAAATACAAAAAAATTAGCTGGGCATGATGGCGCGTGCCTGTAATCCCAGCTATTCAGGAGGCGGAGGCAGGAGAATTGCCTGAACCCAGGAGGCAGAGGTTGCGGTGAGCCGAGATCGCGCCATTGCACTCCAGCCTGGGTAACAAGAGCGAACTCTGTCTCAAAAAAAAAAAAAGAAATGCTTAAGATGCTTTAAGATTCTAAAATAAAAAGAACCAATATATATTTAACTTAACAAATTTAAGAGGTGAAATCGTATTTAGCTGTCTTAATTTAAAAACCTAGGCCACACAACACTTAGCAAACAGACCTTGTTTTTAGGATATAATTTGTTAACTATTTTTGTTTACACTAAGTAATAGGAATTGGTTTTCTCTGAATCCAACTGAACACGATGGCGGGCAAGTGCATTTCTAATCATGAGCATAAAACTGATGTCCCAAACGGCTGAAGAGGGCCTCTGAAACCAAAGACAGAGACCAAAAAAGCAGTGTGGAGAAACAGAAACCATATCTAGAAAAGAAAACATCCATTTAAAAACTCTCATTACATCATAAAGGCTAAGATCAAGTGTAAAGAATATCGTTGGAGAATAAGACAGCATATTGCATCCAAAAGAAAACTTCCTTTTAAAAACTACCATTAGATGACTTCTCGGCCTTCTGGCTAAGATGGAGTGTAAAAATTTATCACTGGAGAATAAGACAGCGTATTGTAACCAATAAATAAAAACATGTTACTATTTAAAAAATAGAATATTGAGAAAATAAAAATGGTTCAAAAAAATTAAAAATATAATACAAATAACAAACTCAATAGAAAGGTTGAAAGATAAAGTTAAGGAAATCTTTCAAAAGGATAGAAAAATATAAAGAAATAGAAACCAAAGTAGGAGGAAAAAAAAAAAAAACAGAACAATCTGGCAGGGTGCAGTGGCTCATGCCTATAATCCCAGCACTTTGAGAAGCCAAGGCGGGTGGATTGCTTGAGCCTCAGGAGTTCAAGACTATCCTGGCCAACATGGTGAAACTCCATCTCTACTAAAAATACAAAAAATTAGCCAGGCAGGGTGGCAGGCATCTGTAATCCCAGCTACCCAGGGGACTGAGGCAGGAGAAATGCTTGAACCCAGGAGGCAGAGATGGCAGTGAGCTGAGATCACGCCACTGCATCCCAGCCTGGACCACAGAACAAGACTCAGTCTCAAAAGAAAAAAAGAAAAGAAATGGTGCTCTCAGTCCCATCTTAATGGATAAAAGTAGACCTACACAAAAGCACATTACTATGAAATTTTGAACATTGGGTAAAGAAAAGCCATTACAACATTTAAAGCAGAGGAGAAAAACAGGAAATGGAGAAAAGATTGGGAATCAGGATGGCTTCAGATTTCTCAAAAGCAATTCTGGAAATAAGAAGACAATGCCTCCAAAACTCTGAAATGAAACCATTTCCAACCTAGAATTCTATACCCAAAGTATAAAATCGAGAGGGTAAAATGACAAATAATTCAGACATACAAGTTCTCAAAAAATTTACTTCCCATGCATCTTTTTACGGAAAGCTGCTGAAAATGGTGCCCCCAAAACAGAGGAGTAAATGGAGAAAGTAGACGACGTGAGATAGAAAAAAAACGGGTCATCCAGTACTAGAGGGAATAGAATGGAATCTCCCCAGAATGACAGTGAAGGGAGATCTCAGGATAACAACTGAGTACCAGGTATAAAGAATAACTGGTAGGCAGAATAATAAGCCCCAAAAGATGCTCATGTCCTAATTTCAGGAATCTATAAATATATCATGCTACATGGCAAGTGAGAATTAAGGTTAGAGATGAAATCAAGGCTGCTAATCAATTTACTTTAAAATAGGGAAATTATCCTAGATTATCCAGGTGGGCCAAATGTAATTACAAAGTTCCTTAAAAGATAGAAGACAGGGCCGGGCATGGCAGCTCACACCTGTAATGCCAGCACTTTGGGAGGCCAAGGCAGACGGATCCCAAGGTCAAGGGATCGAGACCATCCTGGCCAACATGGTGAAACCCCATCTCTACTAAAAATACAAAACTTAGCTGGGCATGGTGGTACGCCTGTAGTCCCAGCTACTTGGAAGGCTGAGGCAGGAGAATCACTTGAACCCAGGAGGCAGAAGTTGCAGTGAGCTGAGACTGGGCCACTGGACTCCAGCCTAAGTGACATTCCGTCTCAAAAAAAAAAAAAAAATAGAAGACAGACAGAAAAGTCAGTGTCACAATGATGCAATGTAAGAAAGACTCAACCAGCCATTGCTCTAGCTTTGAAGATAGATGGGAACTAGAAGCCAAGGAATGCCAGTAATCTCTAGAAGTTGGAAAAGGCAAGAAAATTGATTCTCTCCTACAGACTCTAGAAAAAAATGTCAATGCTTTGATTTTAGCCCAGTAAAACTCATTTTGGACTCCTGGCCTACAGAACTGTTGATAATAAACTGTGGAGTCTTAAGCCACTAACTTTGTAGTAATTTGTTAGAGCAGCAATAGGAAAATAATGCCCTTATCAATCCAGATTGGAACACTGTGACTCCGGAGCCTAGCATGTTGAGGACTGCCATAACCATTATCCTCTCCCATTGTACTGTCTTTCTAACGTAAAGCAACTTCTGGAGGATGTGATCTACCTCAATAAGAGAAAGAGCAAAGAAACATAAACCTAAGAGATCGGCCAAGCACAGTGGCTCACGCCTGTAATCCCAGCACTTTGGGAGGCTGAGGTGGGTGGATCACAAGGTCAGGAGATCAAGACTATCCTGGCCAACATGGTGAAACCCTGTCTCTACTAAAAATACAAAAAAAAAAAAAAAAATAGCCAGGCATGGTGGCACATGCCTGTAATCCCAGCTACTCTGGAGGCTGAGGCAGAGGAATTGCTAGAACCCAGGAGGCAGAGGTTGCAGTGAGCTGAGATTGCACCACTGAACTCCAGCCTGGCAACAGAACAAGACTCCATTAGAAAGAAAGAAAGAAGAAAAAAAAGAAAGAGAAAGAAAGAAAGAGAAAAGGAAAGAAAACTAAGAGGTCATAGAATCAGAGAACACAATCCAAAAGAAGGAAGGAATCCCAAGGATGACACAAAGGGAAGTCCAGGATGACAACCATGCAATTGGCCAAGGAGCCACCAGCACAGTGGGAAGAAGGGCCATCTCTGGGTAGATGCATCCCTGATGCGATTTCCCTTGTGGGGAAGTGTACTGAGAGCTAATTGGATCGTGTGGGAAGAATTGACACTAGGTACAAAGAAAACTAAGCAATGAAAGGAAGTAATAATTGTCATCAAGAAAAAAGAACTCCCTGCACTTGCCTCCCAAAACAGAAAGGCAACCATCACAATACACCACAACACAAAACTCACACTGTGAGTTTTGTCATCCTGAGTTCTGGTGGCTAAGAGATCAGTTCTGGGCACCCTGTGTTAATTACACTGGTGTGTTTCCTGACATTCATTCTCCACGTTGGTCATAGAGAAGTTTTAACAGACAGAACTCATGATGACCAAAGTTTGGATGGAGCTACCAACCTGAGGTTTGACTGCTAAGTTTTTAAACCCTCCTCTAACTGAAAATTAGGCATGGTTTTGTGGCAGCCATGGGTCTGCTGTGTTAACTTGCTAGGGAACCTGCATAAAATCACCCGTATCAGCATTTTCCTTGCTAAGCTCTGTGTCAGGGTAAGAGAAATAGTTTGCCAATAATGGAGGCACAGTATGTCCCTAGTTGTTTATAGAACCTCAGGGTGAGCATTGAAAACAAATGCTGATGAAACTAGTTCATACAAAAGATACTTTGTCAAGGAAAGCAACAATAACCTCATTGTTTGTGGTCACGCTTTGTACATAGTCAAAAAGAATGATTAAACACAAGAATGCTGAAAGCTAGTTAGTCCTAATAGTGCCAACTTTATAGGACAAACTGTCCCATAAAGTCAGTGCTACCTTCTGTCCAAGAGCCAGTGCTACCTCCAGATGCCACTGATAATTTTCATGTTGCAAGATTATAAGGGCCAGTCCAGCTACTGTGTTGTAATTACAGGATTTCTGATCATAAAAATGGGCTACCTGATGTGTCTTATATCAGTATATTGTGAAACAGAAAAGCTGTCTCTCATTAGAAATACTAAGAAGTCTGGTTTCTTTTAAGTGGGCAAAGTCTACCAGACTATAGACCTTTAGACATTTATGCTACGAAGTTTTTCTGAGTTAAGCCTTAATTTACTGAAATCTGAATTGTTTCTGGAAAAAAAGAAAATGCTGATGTGCTGCTTTCACGTTCAACAGTGTATAGTGGATTAAAGATGAAGTGGAGAGAGTCGTGTTATGTAAAAGCAACTGAATTTAAACTGTAAGAAGTCACAATGTAAGAATGGTTAGGAAATAGTTGTGAGTGAGGCGACCGAGTTGCAGACGCAGAGATGCAGATCTTTGTGAAGACCCTCACGGGCAAGACCATCACCATTGAGGTCGAGCCCAGTGACACCACTGAGAATGTCAAAGCCAAAATTCAAGACAAGGAGGGTATCCCACCTGACCAGCAGCGTCTGATATTTGCCGACAAACAGCTAGAGGATGGCCGCACGCTCTCAGACTACAACATCCAGAAAGAGTCCACCCTGCACCTGGTGCTGCGCCTGCGAGGTGGCATTATTGAGCCTTCCCTCCGCCAGCTTGCCCAGAAATACAACTGTGACAAGATGATCTGCCACAAGTGCTGTGCTCGCCTGCACCCCCGTGCTGTCAACTGCCGCAAGAGGAAGTGTGGCCACACCAACAACCTGCGCCCAGGAAGAAGGTCAAATAAGCCTCTTCCTTCCTGGAAGGGCAGCCTCCTGCCCAAGCCCCATGGCCCTGGAGCCTCAATAAAATGTCCCTTTGGTTGACTGGAGCAGCAAAAAAAAAAAAAAAAAAGTTGTAAATTTTCCAACAGTGATCAAGTATACAAAAAAAAACATAAATAAATAATTTAAAAAGAAATAAAACATTTGTATAGAAATTTGGTTTCATTTATAGTATTTTCAAAATAATAGCCCACAGTTTATCCAGATTTATGTAATACATGTATTGCCACCAGACACATCTTCAGTTTCTATTTACCTTAATATTTTATCGCACTCAGACTAGACTTCATTGTGAGTATAGCTTCTGGTTGTTTTTTTTTAAGTACTATCCAGTATGAAAGCTTCTGTACAAAACTCTACTAAAATACACTTTTTTTGAAACCTAAATATTTTTAGATAGGTGGAAAGTAGAAGAATCCTTTTGTAGAATATTCTTAGGCATGTAAAGCACAAATTACATGTTAGTTTAAACTAATTGATTCCCTTTCTTCTCAGGAAGTTCAATGAATCATAAATATTCTTTTGAAGGAAAATCTAGTCTGCTTCAAAGAGCTCCACACAAATAAACATAATGAATGACCAGATTCTTTAAAACAAACAAAAATATCCTCCTGAGTTAAATGAAAAGGAGAGCCTCTACACTAACAGAGTGCTCACAAAAAAAAACACTGGTGGACATTTGCCAATCTGTAGTAAACCTATCATCTCTAGCAAGATGGGGCATGCATAGAAGTTCTATTTTAATTTGACTCACAGAATGTGTCAGTGATCATTACTCACCTAAGTCACTAGTTCTCAACTAGGGACAGTTCTTCCCTGTGGGGGAAATGTGGCAGTGTCTACAGACATTTTTGGTTCTTACATCTGGGGGTGGGATGCTACTGCTATCCAGCGTGTGGAGGCCAGGGGTCCTGCTGAACATCCTACAGTGCGCAGGACAGGACACGACAATGAAGAATTAGCTGGCTCATAACGTCCATAGTGCTGAGGCTGAGAAACCCCCATCCTAGAGCAAGCAATGAAAGAGGAAATCTTTAGAAACAGCAGAGATGGCACCTCTTGTTGTTTTGTACAGTATTCTGGCTTCGTTTTCTGTATTGGTATCAAGCAGAATTGTTCATGCTGCTTCTGTTATCATTGTTTTTCCTCTTTCAAGTGAATGGAGAGGTGGGTCGGGCCAAAGTCACAGGAAGAAATGTGTGACCTGTTCAATTTGTATTGTTTAATTTTGCAAGTGTTAAATTATTGTTTACAAAAAGGATAATGGTATAACACATTTCTTAGTCATTTTGCTATCTGAAGATTTGGAATTTTATTTAATTACTCTAAATAGCATTTGTGGTCATGCGGAGTGGCTCACACCTATAATTCCAGCACTTTGGGAAGCTGAGGCAGAAGGGTTGCTTGAGCCCGGGAGTTTAAGACCAATGCAGGCAACAAAGTGAGACCCTGTCTCAACAAAAAATACAAAAATCAGCCGGGCATGATGATGTGCACCTGTAGTCCCAGCTACTCGAGTTTTGTTTTGTTGTTTTATTTTGGGGTGTGTGTGTGTGTGTGTGTGTATGTGCATGTTTGTGTGTGTTCTGAGACAGAGTCTCGCTCTGTCACCCAGGCTAGAGTGCAAAATCTTGGCTCACTGCCACTTCCACCTCCCAGGTTCAAGCGATTCTCCTGCCTAAGCCTCCCGAGTACTTGAGATACAGGCGGCTGCTACCATGCCCAGCTAATTTTTGTATTTTTAGCAGAAACAGCGTTTCACCATGTTGTCCAGGTTGGTCTCAAACTCCTAGCCTCAAGTGATCTGCCCACCTCAGCCTCACAAAGTGCTGAAATTACAGGCATGAGCCACTGCGCCTGGCCTACTTCCAGCTACTTGGGAGGCTAAGGTGGGAGGATCACTCAAGCCTGGGAGGTTGAGGCAGTAGTGAGCTGAGGTTGCGCCACTGCACTCCAGCCTGGGCAACAGAGGAAGACCCTTTCTCTAAAAAAGTTAAAATTAAAGATAGCATTTGTCACAAACAGTAACAAATGCTGTTTGTGTAACAACAGTTTTGTGTTGACACAAAATTTTCTACTTACATAAACTTGTGGGTCTGTTCTTTTTTCTCTCTCTTTTCTTGAGATAGAGTCTCTCTCTGTGGTGCAGTGGCACGATCTCAGTTCACCTGCCTCCACCTCTTGAGTAGCTGGAATTACAGGTACCCACCACCATGCCCAGCTAATTTTTGTATTTTTAGTAGAGACAGGATTTCACCATGTCAGCGTGGTGGTCTCAAACTCCTGACCTCAGGTGATCTGCCCACATCAGCCTCCCAAAGTGCTCAGATTACAGGCATGAGCCACCATGCCTGGCCAGACCTGTTCTTTATTCTATTAATAACTGCTGAAAGAATAACTAAATGAGATGATTAGGATATACCAAATATTCTTAATGTTGCACCCTGAATTTCGAAAAGTATCTTATTGCTTCCCAAGGTTGTCTTGTGCTCTGTATTTGGAGTTTACTGCTACATCGGAGGATGAGCTTTACCATGAGTCAGCAAAACCTTGATTGTGATGCAAAATCACCAATGAAACTCAATTTTTTATCATGTTTCTCTCTTATGCTAATATTGTCACTGCTGGTTCAAACAAAAACTTCTATTATACCTAAATCTGTCAAAAATTGTTCATTTTCAAATTTGAAAAGTTACATAAATGGGCCAGGTACAGTGGCTCACACCTGTAATCCCAGCACTTTGGGATGTAGAAACAGGCAGATCACCTGAGGTCAGGTGTTCCAGACCAGCCTGGCTGATACGGTGAAATCCCATCTCTAATAAAGACACAAAAATTAGCCGGGTGTGGTGGCACCTTCCTGTAGTCCCAGCCACTCTGGAGGCTGAGGCAGGAGAATCACTTGAACCCAGGAGGCAGAGGTTACAGTGAGCCAAGATCACACCATTGTGCTCCAGCCTGAGCGACAAAGCAAGACTCTGTCTTAATAAATAAATAAATAAAAAGAGACATAAATGGAAAACAAGAGAGAGAAGATAAGAAAATCAGAGGAGCAGTCTAGGGGTCCAACAGCCTAATGATAGGAGCACCAGAGAACACAAAACGAAAAATTTCCCAGAACTAAAGAAAGTGAGTTTACAAATCGACAGGAGTCACCAAGTACCCAGCACCACACATGAAAATAGACCCATGCAAGGCAATAACATTTCAGAACTCTAAGATGAAGAGAAGATTCTATACAGTTCTGAAAAGAAAAAATAGATCACATAGAAAGGATCGAAAATCAGAACATCTTCAGACTTCTCTATCACAATGGCAAAAGCTAGAGAACAATAAATCAATGCCTTCAAAATTATGAAAAAAAATATTATTTCTAACCTAGAATTCTATACCCAGCCAAACCAATAATCAAATGTGAGGATAAAATGAAGACATTTTCAGACATGCAGGATCTTTTTTGTTTGTTTTTTGGGTTATTTGTTTGTTTTGTTTTGTTTTGAGACTAGTCTTGCTCTGTCACCCAGGCTGGAGTGCAATGACATGATTTCGGTTCACTGCAACCTCTACCTCCTGGGTTCAGGTGATTCTCGTGCCTCAGCCTCCCAAATAGCTGGGATTACAGGTGCCCGCCACCACGCCCAGCTAATTTTTGTATTTTTAGTAGAGACGGGGTTTCACCATGTTGGCCAGGCTGGTCTCGAACTCCTGACCTCAAGTGGTCCACCCACCTCAGCCTCCCAAAGTGCTGGGATTACAGGTGTGAGCCACCACACCTGGCCTAAAAAAAAAATTTTTGTTTTAAGAAAAATCCAGTGTAAGACACCCAAAATGAAAAACTATTTAATAAAAAAAAAAACACAAGAGACAAATGTTTTGAAGGCTGTTATCCCTAAGAGACAGATATGCTAAGTGCCACCATCCCCTGCATTCCTGCTTTCACAGCATCACCCTTTTAACCTGACAAGAGTCAGGTACTAACGAAGTTCTTGTCTTCTCATGGCCCTGCCCACTGATTCCCCAGAAGAAAGCTCTTCTAAACTCTCGGGGAAGTTAAACCCAGACCATGACCCACAGACTAGAATCTTCACAAACATTGGCAATACTGTCCTTTCTTTACCTGGTTAGCTACGTACCACCTACTCAATTTCTAAGTTGATCACCTCTACCATATATAAATAGCTGTTGAACAATAATAACCCAACTGATTGAAGAAAAAAGTAAGAGAAGACCCATCCAAAGGTAATTAATATCTCACTGCAGACAGGTATAGGAACCGCCTACAAACACGAGGGCGGTGTAGTAAGCACAGCTGGCTATCAGCAGTGTGAGGAAAGTGAGATGACTCCGATACGTGCTGTGAGTCAGTGTCTTCCCATTCAAGTCTCTGTGGCCCACAGAAGCAGTGGACCAGGCACTGGGTGAACCAAGGAAAACAGTAATCATAATAAGATAGGATAATTATAATGATTTTTACTACTACAAGGTATTCAGGGCATTTTTTGAGTCGTCACTGTGCTAAGAATAAACATGCTTTTATTTAACTCACACGGTGATCCTCCAAGATGAGTATTATCGTTCGTATTTTACCAACGTGTAGGGAGTGGACTAAGTCTCCTGAGATCAGACAGCCGGCAAGAGGCAGAGACCTGGTCCAGGACTCCAGGAGCCCATGTTCTTAACTACCACACTGACCGGGAAGAAGAAATTGGACCTCAAAATAATAATAATAATAAAAGTAAACAGCCTGATGGATCTTAACCTAATCATTCATTGAAAAAAAATTAGTATTTTACATCAACAGTCATGTAAGAACCTTCCCAATGTTCTTCCACCTACACAAAAGAAAAAAGGATGGGAGTGCCTGAAAGGGATGGGAAAGGCGTGCAAGAAAACGGGAGAGGGCCGGGCACCGTGGCTCAAGCCTGTAATCCCAGCACTTTGGGAGGCCGAGGCGGGTGGATCATGAGGTCAAGAGATCAAGACCATCCTGGTCAACATGGTGAAACCCCATCTCTACTCAAAATACAAAAAATTAGCTGGGCATGGT